TCTGAGGAGTCTTTCTTACTATTCTATGCCTTAGAATGCCTTGCTCACTATAGAATCTATCAAATTCAACAGTGTAGAACTGTAGCCTATTGTTAGTTATTAGGGCTTTTACTCTCTTGTCTAACTGATTTTCTGCAAGCAACTTCCACTCCCTAAAATTGGATAGGGCTTGATCCTTAGTTCTTAGAAGGTAGACCTACACCTTTCTACTATATTCATCCACAATAGACATAAAATAACTGTTCCCCTCATAAGACTTGACCTTTTCAGGCCCCCACATATCAGAATGGAGATACTTTAGGCAACTAGTGGCTAAGTGAGTTCCCTTTGGCAAGCTCACCCTATGTTGCTTAACTAAAACACAATTCTCACAAAATTCTAAGGTGGACATAGAATCTTTACAAACATTCCCTAGTTACTAAGAATATTCAACCCTTTCTGGCTCATATGGCCCATTCTAAGATGCCATTTTTCAGTAACTAACAGGTTTGAGGAGACTAAGGCAGTGTTGAAACAATCTAAATAGAAGTCACCATATAGGATATATAACCCATTCCTTTTTTCCCCTTTTAGAATCAAGTTTTGGTTTGTATACACATTCAACCACCCATTTTCAGCCTAGTAGCAACAACCAGCTTCATCTAAGGTTCTTGATGAGATAAGGTTCCTCTTGAGTTTAGGGATAAACTTAACTTTAGTCAGTTTTATCAATTTCCCCTTTGCTAGTTGGCTAGATTTCAGGTTTACCCCAAACAAATAGGTTGCTACCATTCTATTTCTGTACTTTCAATTCTAGTTTCCTGGTTTTAAGCCCTGCTATTATTAAATCAAAGCTAGGGACAGTACCGGAGTACTACAAAATATTCTTGACTACTTGGTAGTCATCAGTTAATAAATTTAGTAATATTATGGCAAGGCTTGTCTCTCTTAATTCTTGATCGGTTCCCTTTAGAATGAGGGTCATTTTCAAAAATTCATCTAGGTTTTCCTCTATGGTCTTAGTGCTATGCATCTTATATGAAAATAGGGCATCTTTAAGGAAAGCTAAATTGGGAGCAGATTGAAGAGCATACAGAGATTTGAGCTTACCCCACAATCCCAGAGGGGTTTCGATTCCATCAACCTTCCTCAATACTCTGTCTAAGAGGTTCATCATGACTAAATTATAAGCTTCTTCATCAATCTCCTCCTTCTTCTTTAGTTTCTCTTCAGACTACTTCTTGGGGTCTTTTTCCATAAGGAGGCTAACTTTATTGTGGGAAAGAAGGGCCTTCATCTTCTTCTTCCAACTCCCGAAGTTGATTTGTCATGGTGTAGTGTTTAGGTATAGTGAATTGATAGACTCAAGAACAGATCATTCTTGAATTTCAAGATTCGAACAAAACCCAAAATTGCTCCCATTTTTCTAATTGACACTAATTCACTTAGATTTAAGCATTATGGACTCCTAATTAGATCAATAAACCCTAGAATTGAGAAAGCCCCAAATTTTTGACAACCCTAAAAACCCTAGAATTTTTAGATCTAATTTCCAAAACTCGATTTCCCAAAATCTTGTTACCAATTGTTCTGATACCATTGCTATGCCATAATAATAATAATAATAAACTGTAACAAAAAACACATAAGAATCAAATGAATCAAACACACAAACACCAAGAGTTACCATGGTTCACTTCCTCAAGATTTGAGCAAGCTATGTCTACGTTGAGCTTTAGAAATGGGGAGCTCATTGCATTACTATTAATATCAAATCAACAATTATAGCCCTATTCAAGAACACGCTCAAGATCTCCCTCTCTCAACCTGAAAACAACCCGTAACTTGACCCTAGAAAGACTCTACCCTGGAATCCCTAGAAGAAGAGTTATCACACCCTTCACTGAATGATTAACACCCAATCACTCAAGTTACAAAATGATTTCAGATCAATTTACAAACCCTAATAAGAGAACACAACAACTATAGAGAATGCTTTGAAAGAGGAATTGGGGTGAACTAAAATTTTTCTTCCCTTTTATATCATTGACTCGTATAGTGATCTATAGCCGCTGGATTGAAGTTGGATCAATGGTTAGGGTCCAACTCAAAATTGACCCAAACGACAACGTTCCACTAATCTCCAATGCGGTGACATTTCAAGCATTCACTTTAATAATATAGAGCAATGAAATTTGACATCTTGGGACACCATGATAATAGGCTTTGCAAAGAATGGTCTGGGGAAGGATGTCGTTGATTGCTTCTCTTGATTCAAGTGAATAAGACTAAAAGTAGTTGGTTAGATTTTCATCAGGGTTTTCTTTGCCTGTAGTATTTTGGGTGAATGTGATGAGGGAATGTTGCACTTTGAATAAATGATCAATGAATATCAGATTATTTTATCCATGAAGCATTATTTGAGTATAGTTGACATGTTGGGAAGCACATAATATTTTTATGAAACCCTGGAATTCATTGAAATGATGCCAATGGAGGCAAGTGTTGATGTTCTGGAGACATTGATGAACGTTTGTAGAATTCATGGGAATTTGGAGCTTGGTGATCGATGTGTTGAGCTTATTGAGCAACTAGATCCCTCACCTTTGAATGAGAAGACATAGAAGACAAAGCTAGGCCTTGTACTTGTTAAAGCATCAGATCATGTAAAAGAGAGAGAGAGAGAAAAAAAAAAAAAAAAAAAAAGAAAGGAGAGCAAGTACCATGGCTTTCAAACAGGACACACAACTCATCGAGAGAGTGATAATATATATGCTCTTATTAGGGCTTTGAAGGCTCAAATGAAAGAGGCTGGTTACATGTCAGAGACAAGGTTTGTGCTTAGCAGCCATGCCCATGCTCCCATTCAGATAGTAAAGAATTTGTGGTAATTGCCATGTTGCATTGAAAATCATCTCGAACATTACAGGTAGAAAACTTGTTATATGGGATGCTAAGAGATTCCACCATTTTAAAGATGGATTGTGCTCTCGTTAGGATAATTGGTGACCAGATTTCAGTCTAGGGTACTCAGTTATAGTATGTCGTGTGCCAAACATTTCCTGAATATAATATTGTTTGAGTTTGTTGCTCAACCGAGAGGCCAAAGACAAGTTGAAGAATTTTGTGAAGAATGGTTTTGTTCCTTCCGTTTATAACTTCATACACCATGAGAATTCGATAGATATCCAACTGAGTAGATTTTTTACACATTTAATTAGAAGAATAGGGAAGGTCCCCAAGATATATTTATGTTGTAGTTTTATTGCATAAATTTTTTTATTTCTTAATATTTAGGGAATAATGTTGTCATATATTAGCTGATAATATGCAAGAAGCAAGTTGTTTGCACAAAAATGTTCGATTACTTGCAAGATTTGAGAGGCTATCTGGATTGAGTGACTAGAGTATCCATATTTAGGGGTCAACAAATTCAATTCATTCCATCACTAAAGGCCCATAAATTATATTTTTTATTATTTATTTTTCATTATTTTCATTTCATTAGTGTTATTTTGAAATTTGTTGATATTTGTAATGCAAATCTTTTTTTTTTTTTTTTTTTTTTTCTCGAATGAAAATTTTGCATAGTCATATACACTTTTTTGAATATAAATCTTCACTCAATTTTGCTTATTGAATGTAGGATAGGCTTTGATCTTGTTGACTATTTTCTTTGCTACAGATTTTTGTGATATTAATGTAATATTAATGGCAATTGGATTGGTTTCAAATCTGCAAAACGTGTAGCCATTTTCATTATTAAAATCTGATGACTTGAAAGCTTTTGATGAGTTAGTTCGCAGGCTTTGCATACCAGAATACACAAAAATGTTTGTTTTGGAGATCAGAGAACCTAAATCAAAATCTGTGGTGTATATCAATGTTTTAATACCCGACCCGGGGTGAAACCCGGCCAAGCGACTAGGTCCCGGGTTGGGCGGTTGAACCGGTCTAACCAGTGGGTTAGACCGGTGTTGACGTCAACATGACTTTGAAAATTATAAATCCTAAAATAAAACAATCAGTTTCTCTGAAACTATGGTTGCTTCTTCCTCCTCCTCATAATCTAACTCCCTTACAATAAAACACATAGTAGCCTATTGCATTCTAGTCGCAAAAACCAACAGCCTCCTCCCAAAAACTCAAGAACCTTCCCCATTCAAATCCCAAAATCCACCCAAATCGCAAAAACCCAATAGCCTACTCCATTCAAATAAAAAAACCCAGCAATCTCCTCCATTTAAATTGCAAAATACATCTAAATAGCAAAAACCAGCAGTCTCCTCTCAAAAACCCAGCAACCTTTGCCATTCAAATCCCAAAATCGACCCAAATCGCAAAACCCAGCAACCTACTCCATTCAAATAAAAAAAACCCAGCAATCTCCTCCATTCAAGTCGGAAAAACCCAGCAATCTCCTCCATTCAAATTGCAAAATCGATCCAAATAGCAAAAAGCCAAAAACTAGCAGCCTCCCCTCAAAGAACCGAGCAACCTCCTCCATTCAAATCACAAAATTAACCCAAACTGAAAAATCCCAGCAACTTACTCTATTCAAATAAAAAACAACCTAGTAACCTCTTACATTCAAATCGCAAAATCGCAAAAATTAATAGCCTCCTCACAAAAACCTAGCAGCCTGGAGTGACAATATGAAGAAGTAATGAGATGAAATGAAGAGATCGACAATGGAAGAGAGAAAATATGAGTTAGGGCTTGACAAGGAATGAAAAACTGGGGAAAAGCAGAAAAGAAACCCACTTTTTGGAATTGAAAACCGGGTATAAAAGTTCACTCTGTTTTCTCCCAAAAGCGGTTGGATTGGTTGGTTGCTACAGTAAACCAGTCCAACCGCGAGTCAAACTGGGTGGATTAATTTTCCTGGTTTTTAAGCCTGCCCAGCCCGGCTCAGTGGTCGAGTCCCAGTCAAACCGGTTAAACTGGCCGGGCCGGGCCAGATTTTAAAACATTGGTATATATACTTTGTGCTCAAAATTTATGGGAGAGATCACCTTTAGATGGCGAGTGTCTTATCAAGGAAGTATGACCTGATGGTGTTGTAGATCAAATGGGTGTTATGAATAAAGTGCAATTTGAGGAGATTGAATTAAGAGATAAAGGTGATGACTCAGTTCCTACTTCTTTGTTTGGAGTGACTAAACAATGTTTTGTTTGATAGGATTGATAAGAAAGTGCATGAGAGTGGTTGGAACTTGGTTTTGAGGAAAATTTTTGGGATTGGTTTTAATGGTCCTTTTTTGGCTGCCATGAGGTTGGTTCATCATTTATAGTGCTTGAATCATCTATAGTCCTTCTAGGAAGTTAATACAGGGAATAAATGTCAATGTTTGTTTAGTAGTTTGGTTCCACAGAAAGTGGGTTTGGTTGTCTCATCGATTTCAAGAAGGTTTTATCTTACTAGTGACGTTGAGTCACAAATAATGAGATTTTTATCTTCAGATATGGATTTGTTTGGGTTGAGATTGAGGCTTGGCAATTCTAATTTGGATTCGTTAAAGGAATTTCAATTGAGACATGATTATTCAATTCCGTCATTTGCACAGTCCATTTGTCCATTACTCTTGGATTTGTATGATATATTTGCTAATCTCTTATCAATGTCAAGAGCTCTTGCCCTTACAAAAAAGATGCTTTTTTATGTGAACAGAGGGGAAGTTGTGCACACTGAAGTTATTTCTAAAGTTACACCTTTTGAATTGTAGTTGAGAGGTTGAGAATCGCTTTAAACAAAGTCGGTTGGCTATCTATCTATAAATTAGGGATTCTAACTCATCTAATATTGATTTATCTAGGCTTCCACTTCAGAATAAATTGCAAGCATTCCTTGCACAGTCTCTTCAAATTCAAGCTAAGAAATTCAAGACTATGGTAGTAGTAGTGGATGCTAGTTACTTAGCTAGGCTTTGGAAACACTGGAATAATCCTATTCCTAATAAGGTCAAAGATTTGATTGGAGAGTCTATTACAAGCTGTGAAGACGATGGGGAAACTTCAAATCACATGGATAAGAAACGTTTATTTTCTAATGAACTTGTTGTGGTTGTGGGTGCTGGAGCAACTACTATTTTAGGAGCTTCATCTCTCACCAAACTTCTTCCTACATCAACCTTTATGAAGGATGTAACGTTTAAATTTCTTATTTTGCTTAAGCTTTTTCTGGCCCAAGCCCAGAAAGCAATTGCAATAGCTTTAGGCAACGCTAAAGTGTTCGCCCCAGGACTGGCAACTTCTGGATCAAATACGTATTTCTTAAAGGTAGTAACTTCTGCTGAGAAAATTCAGGCAATGGCCATGATGTCATTGCCTCTATCGAGAAGACTAGTTTTTCAACCATGAGAACAACATTTTATGAAATAATGAGAAAAAGGCGGGTACGACCAATAAGTTGTAAGTATTTTTTGTCAACTTATGTCCTTGTGTGGGCACTTTAGAGTCTGTGTAGTCACAACACATCTGGCAGATATTTTTTCACAAAGCACATATCGCACTTGATTTGCAAAGAGGCAAATATATTCTCTTTTAAGATATTTGTTGTGGTGCATTTACACTTATTCTCATATAATTTGATGTACTAGAAAACTTGTTTAGCTTTGTTTGTGGTCCCAAAGCAAAACACAAAAGTTGAACTTTAACTTTTTAGTCCCCTAACCTTTGGCACATGGTTCTCTATAAATTCGTACTTTTCTGTGCCTTCCTTAAGAAACCTAATTGCCTTTGAGTCATCACTGAATATCCCCTAAGGTTTTTGTATTTGTATAAGGTTTCTCATATGCTTTGGTAAGCTTAAAATTACCTTCTCTTACATTGTCTTTGTTGTGAAGATTTTGGAACATGGTTGCATGTCGATGCTTGGACGTATCAAGCTACTATTCCAAAGTTGATTCTTTGCTATTAAAACTTGAGAGGAGCTCAAGTACGACCTGGTGGTCTCGTGTGTGAAGGTTGCTATCGTGACTTGAAGTTCAACAGAAGAAGAGAAGATTGATGTGTTGAAAACAGGGTGTTTTGCAACTATGCTTTTCTTGCTTTGTGTTTGAACTCATAAATTTACATAGTGGATTTGGTTCTTTTGGACTTAGTCCTATGGATGTAGGCATATTGTCGAACCATGTAAAAATGAGTGTGTTCTTTTCTTGCTTTGATGGATGTTTCATTTATGCTTTGAACCCATTCCGCATAAGTTTTATTCACTTGGTAACCTCTTTAAAACTTTCAATTATCCTACCATGGGCAACATTTGGGGGTAGTGTTGCAACTTGTGCAGGGTTGCTTGTGTATGGAGATGGGATTGAATGTGTTGCTGAATCTTTGCTCGTAGCTCCTTCAATTGCCAATTTGGGGCATGGATTCAATATCTACACGAGGCATGTCAGAAAGTGAAGCAAATAAATGGCACCAAGATTCAAAAATCTATAGAATCGCTGATGTACAGGTTGAAGAAAGTATAGATTGAATACAATAAGAATGAAAAATTTCTCTTATTAATGTATAGTATTTATAGTTCTACTCATTGATGATTTCAAAAAGTTTCATAAATTGATAATGAGAGATTCTCATGTACAAATTGAATATGGGCAAGATTAATTGTATTATCATGGGTGTTCAAGTTCTAATAAGAGTTTTTTTGGTGCACCAATGAGTACAATTTTTTTTAGAATATATATATATTATCAGTCTTGAGATGGATGGGATTCTTAATCCTTACTTCCTTCTATATTTCCTTCTCTTTTGCAATATCATGATTTACTGACTTGAAGCAATACTTGATCAATGCAATTGAAGCATAATTTTCTTGGTTTATCACTTTGTGGGCTTAGTGCAGTTTTTCTTAATCCCATAATTTTGTTCTTATTACTTATTTAGTTAGTCAATAATAATGTTTACTTTATTTGAGAAGAAGTGATATAAATTACTTTTGATATTCCTTATCATTGGAAATCCTATCTAGATTCATTTCTTCCAACAAAATGTCTCAAATTATGGCCGCCTACCTTACCATTACTAATTAATAATTTAGTTGTTTACAAGTTCATTGATTAGTTGAATTGTTATAATTTTTTTTTTCACTGAACTCAATATAAATAACACTATGTTTTACTTTCTAAAAGGTATTCTGATAGAGTTGTAATGTTGATGTTAATGGTTTCTTGTTGTTGAATATTGTGCTTGGATCCAAATTGGATATTGGATGGCCATATATACAATGATTGCTTTAGATAATCTCCCATCCCTACAATTGAAGTAGAGAAGGGATCAAGTTACACTTAGATAATTGATGTGGTTATGACTTTAAATATTTTGGTAATGTAATATGTTACACTAATAACATTCTATGTTTTATTAATAATATTTAATTGTGCTCAGTTACCATCCCACTTGAAATCTTAAGCTTGTAGGTGAGGGCTCAACATTATATTAGTCCAATAATTTGTATTATATTGTTATCATGAAATAATTTTGGTGAAATTTATTTTTGCCCTAGTTAATGTTCAATATGGGAATGTTTGATTTCATTTTTTTTTTCTTAAGGAATGGATATACTTTGTTGAAATATGTATATGCCCTTGTGTGTGGATTTAATGTTGGGAATGTTTGACTTTCTATTATTTTTGTTAACGGATGGCCATTTAATTTGTTGAAATCTATATGTGGTCTTGTGTGTAGATTGTTCATTTTGTGAATGCATGATATTGCTTTGATTTTGTTAACAAATGGCAACTTTGTTGAAATTTAATTATAGGAATGTTTGACATTTTATATTGCTAGTGGAGGATGATTTTGTTTAAATTATCTGTGCCCTGTAAGTGGAAGGGAACATTTGGTTTTGCATTTGTTTTATTTAAGGAATAGTGATTTTTGGAAATTTCTATGTTCCTAGTGTGTAGATTTCATTTTAGGAATAACTGAATTGTTTTAGATGAACTTGTATGTATGAATGTATATATTATTTCATTTTCTTTTACAATTTATGTCCAATGTGTTAATTGGTTTGTAGAGTCAATTGCCAGGAAATTTGATAAGAATTATTCATAGTGAATCTGGACCCTCACGACAACGGTTATTGGAGAGAGGTATATTTGGTGTATGTGATGCTTGCATGAGTATAGTATGTATTTGGTGTTAATTGTTCATGGTGTGATAGCTGAGATAAATGAAGGATGCATTCGGTATTGGTTTGGTGATAGTGATAGTGATAGTGATGAGATGAAGCAACTCTAAACGTCTCTCTATGAGGTACGTTTTATTAGTACTGGCTAGCCTAGTTGTTGTTAGTTGTGATTTTCTTAATTGATTGCCCTAACATTTTACAATCATCAGGCTGCTCATTCCCATTCTTGAAAGAGTTAACCTTGGATGCCTCCTTTTTGCAATAAAGTTATGTGAACTCAATGACACTTCACACGATCCTGGTAAATTATTACAGGTGTTTTAGGTTCTATTGATTTGCAATTTGATTGTAATTCCTCATTTTGAACCTAAATAATATTGTCTAGCTCATGGAAGGCTTAACTTGTGCTTTATGTAATGGGCCAATAGACTCCCACGATCATTTATTTTTCACCTACTCTTTCTCTACAGCAATATGGAAAGAGGCCTAATATAAAGGTAGATTCTATAGTAGAACTGCTGGTTGGGATGCAATTGTAATGCAATGTGCTATGAAATTCAAGGGGAAAAACATTTGGGCAGTTATCCGATGCCTTCTTCCAAGATCTGTTGTGTATTGTATTTGGGAAGAACACAATTTTAGGCTTTTTAAGGGCAAAAGGAGAAGCAATGAGCAGTCAAGCAGTAGGTTCTAGATAATGTCAAACTTAGACTGAGTAGTCTTAAACTTAAAGACACCTGTGGTAGAGGTTTGGAATTTACCGATATAGTGTATTGATAACAACCTGGGTATAAATAAAAGATTTTAATGGCTGTGTTGTTGATCTGGAGTTTATGTATTATCTTTTTCTGTTGTTGGAAGTGGCCTAATCATACTTTGTGTGACAGAAAAACAAGGGCAAGTAGGCCAACTTGCGAGAAGCTTCGGCAAGATCTATCCTGCTTGAGAAGAGATTTCCTTTGCCTTTATTTCTCTTTAACCCTTTGTCTTTTTTGTAGATCTTCTATATTGAATAGTCTTCAGTTGTTGACATATCTTATTATGATGTCCAAAATTGTGATGGGGTTGCTTTGCATGCTGATTACTATTACAGGGGTTTATTTGTAAATGGAATGCTTTGCCTAATGCTCTTTATAATGTACTGGACTATTGAGGCTGAAGTGTTTTTTCATTGCATTGACTATTTCATTTTTGGTTGTACATGCTAGTGTAGTTGGTGTGGTTGCAGCTATTGTATGGATAATGGGATTGCCTTTTAGAAGGGCCCTTTTCTCGTTGGTTTTGTTGTTTCTTGTTGCCTAGGTTGTACCCAACCTTATGCAGATCAGGAGGTGGTGCAACTATGCAGGCTTTCGTGTTTTTGCCAAGGTAGTCAAGACCAAATTTGTGTCTTTGTGTAAGGTGTTAGAGTTGGTTAACTCACTTTGGTGTTAGGTTACCCATTTTTAAGTGCAGCGGAATATTTTTACCAAGTTGATTAGGAGATTTCAGATTTGAACATATCATCCACAAGTGCATAAAGTAAAGAACACAACCATATACATGGTTCAACAAAAATCCACTTTTAGCCTACATGCATGGGACTTTGTCCAAATCAAAGCAATCCACTAAGCTAAAAACACATTACAAGACAATGTTCAAAGTTGATCTAAGATACAGTAAAAAGAACTCCTTATTCAATTTTACACTTAGCACCACACTATGAATCCTTAATGTGTTGAAACTCCTTGGACCTTCTTCACACTAGGAACACACCCGAGAACAACTTGTGAACCACCAAGCTTCAAGCACTAATGCCATGAACCAACATTAGCAAATGAATCACGTTCCAGAAGCCATTAAGACAATAAAAGATATGGTGAGGTTTTGGCACAAAATGAAATGAACCTTTGAACCTTTGAACTGTAATATACTCTAAGGAAATTTCAGACTACAAAGAAGAAGAAAAGATCAAAAGGTTCGATTCATACACGCAAGAAGGATATTATATAATGTAGGGTTTCTTGCTCAACACTATTGTGCCAGGTCATCCAACAAGGGGCTGACCTATGTTTGTCCAAATAAGGAAAATATTTCTTCTTTTGGTTTGGACCACAAAACAAATTGGGAAAAGCATCTTTATTCCCTAAGACCACCTAAGGATAAAATGACACTTGTAAAAGGTCCTAAAAAG